ACTCAGGAGAATTGTGCTGGGGATTCTTTGTGTGCTGTCTCTTATACACATCTAGATGTGTATAAGAGACAGGAGAGAGAGAGAGAGAGAGAGAGAGAGAGAGAGAGAGAGAGATTTTAGTTTGTGTGCGTGCGTGTGTGGGGGGTATTTAAGTGTGCATGCGTGCATTCGGGCGCTGGTCGCTTGGAGTGTTCGTTCGATGAGAGGGTGCCTGGGTTGGATAGCGAGTGGATCATGTATGTGGATGGAAGAAAGGGTGGACGTGATGGGGGGGGGGGTCTAGGGGAGGGGGTCTGGAAGGAGTGGGGCGAAAGGAGAGAGAAGAGAGATTATGACGTGGAGCGCAACTCGGGGCGCGCGATCATGTCGTTTGTCGAGGAGGAGGAGAGAGAGTATGTTGAAAACAAGGGGCGAGAAGATGGGCCGAGGGGATCCGAAAGACGATGACGTGAAAGCCTCGAAATATGAGGCAATCAGCTAATTAATCAATTTGCTAATGAATCAAGTAATTAATCGGCTAATTTTTTAATCGACTAATAACACTAATCTTATTAGTGGCCATGGTTGGAGCTATAATAACGGGCCTTGAACCGCTGGCTCTCTTGGTGAATCAGCTAATCAGGGACTCAATTAACTGATCAATCGGCTAACCAATCGACTAATCAATCGACTAATCAATCGACTAATCAATCGACAAGTCAGTTGACTAGTCAACGAACTTACACTGATGTCTATGCAACTAACCGATGACATTCAATGATTAGCTAGTCGTTTGAATGATTAGCTAGTGTCCGGAGTCTGATTAGCGATATATTAGCTAATCAGATAACTCGTAATTTATTACCGAAGTCTCGGTCTTGTTAATCGTCACGTAGTATGTTGGTCTCCCACGTCATCCATCGATTAGCTGTGAGCCGTCGATCGTCAATCAGTTTGAGTAATCCATCGGACGTCGGACACTTGCGAATGAACCCACCAGTCGAGTCGCCAATCAAATTCGCAATCAACTTGCCAATTAGATCGGTAATCAAGTCCCCAATCAAATCGGTAATCGAAGCCGCCAATCAAGTCGCCTATCAAATCGGCAGTCAAGTCGCTAAGGAATCATGCCAAAAAGATTGAAAAAATAATCGCATGAAATTATCGAGTCGGCAATTAGACTTGTGGTCCTGTTAATCAAGTAATTAACAAATCAGTCCATCAGACTACTGTACTGAAAGCTGCACTAATGTGCACAGCTATAATTACCTGGGGTTCTATTCGGGTGAAGACGGCAGTAACAGGAGAAACCAGCAAGCATGCAAGCATTCTGATTGGGTATCGAAAGCGAATGGAGCGCAAGAAGGACCACCAATGGAAGTCGGCAGCGTTGTCGTGAAGAAGGATAAGAGAGACTGAAGCAGCGCAATCGGGAAAGAAACCCTGCATCCAAGAAGAGGGGTGGGAAAAAAAATTGTCACAAAACAATAGGCTCTGCAAATACCCCGACCACGTAAAATTCAGCTAATACCCCGACCACGTAAAATTCAGCTTGGCCGTATCATGAGTTTAGTTTTTTTGGTTTTGTTTTTGTTTTTGGTTTGCATGAAAAGCTTACTTCACCAGCTCGTCTAGCCACCATTTGGCCTAACTCAGTTAGTACACCCTTGAGCTGTTCAAACACAGACCTGAGTTTGATCTCCTCTGAAAGCAGATGAGTACCATAGTGGAATTCTGAACTACCTACCTTCTTTTCCCCCGAATACAACGTACGGTCATTATAGATGTATTTGAGGCATCTTTCAGTCTAGATACAGCTATAATGACTTTACGTTATATTCGGGAGAAGAAGGTAGGGCTGGTCAGTCCGATGATGCCATCTCAAGACCGTCACTAGTTCGTCCAGCCGTCAGAATCGCTTTCGCCGTGGGCTCGCGGTGGCCGTGAAATATCATACATACTGTAGTATATGTATCTCTCGATATGACACACGGGGGTGGGGGCAGCCGCCCCTCAACCTACATCCACGTGGGCGGCCTTGTACGCAAGAGGGGGTTCTGAACAGGGGGAGTTGTAAGGAAGAAGATATAAAAAAACGAATTCATTCTTTTTTCTTTTCGCTTTTGCGCTCTCGTATCCATGTGACGATATATATTCCTCGCTGCACCAGTCGTCACTAAATGAAGTGTGAAACATTGGTGGCGAGTGTCCTGTTCCGATGTTTACGGCAAGATGCACTCGCTGTTTACCAGATTCGCAAGTGGGAGCAGCGAAAGCCATAGTTCACTGAACGCTAAAACTCTTAGTCCGTGGTTAGCATCGGTCGGAGTTTTTTGCATATTAATATGAACTTTTTTTTTCCTTTTTTTTTTTTTGGTTTCTGAAGCGCGACGGCCTTTGACATCATCGTCCAACTGATGACCGGCCCCAGGCAATTAAAGAATTTCAGTCATCTTGTTCCATTTGAATTCGTAGTCAGGTTTTTCCGTATTTCAACAGTTACGTTCGTGTACCAACTGAGCTAGTCCCGTCGGCACTGATATCCTTTTTTTTTTTTTTTTTTTTTTACTGATATCCTTTGTTACCTCCCCCACCCTTCTTTATTTAAAAACAGGCCCTTATAGTCCTGACTCCATATTCATTCTGGGGAGCGTCGATCCGGGTGCTTTTCCCCCGGCACGTCATGAGTGCACATCATTAACACCGTCACACGTCGATCCGGTCGGCTGGAGGACCCTGTCCTTTGGAAACAAGAACAATAAGGAAACAAGAACAATAAGAACTGTCAAGAAGGGTTTTCGCACATTGGACATCTGTGCCCGCCTTATATGAATTTTCTTTCTTCCGCAAATGAAAATTTCCGGACCCCCCCCACCTCCCTTCCCCCCCCCTCCCTCTCTCAACCAGTACCAACGGACGGCAGAGAAAGGATTAAAAAAATGTGACGAGCACGATAGGAGGTGCCGAAGAGGGGAAAATAAATCGACCATCCGCTTTGCTGCGACGTACAGGAGAATGGTGGTGGGCTTCACAAGCCTCGTCACACACGGCTGTATTCTGAATACACATTAGCAAGGGGAAATGGACGGTTGTGTCGTAATGGTAATTGAATGCGCGTAAGCCCCCGAATGCAACGTATTTCCAGAATCTCTATGGGCCAGCCAAAACACTTCGTTTTTTCTTCACCCGCCGCAGCATATTTTTCTTTTTTCAGTTCACCCGCCACACTGTGTTTTCTCTTCCCCACCCCACCTACCACTCTTCTCACGAATCCCTGTGCGACCGTTTCTCGTGGGGAACGTAACGTACAGTAGAAAAACAGGACGTTGCTGAGAGCTGCACTGTGACCGTCATACGCATTAACGACCGTAATACCCCGAGCGGAGCTGGAGCGCTTTCACAATTGGGTTCTAAATCACACCCACAGC